TAAACTCCTCATCCAGCGTATGTATTTCACTCTCTCCTATAATTTTCTTGTGGTTTGCATTATCATATCTTACATGTGACATCCAAACTGCTTTATTCATCATCTCAGAGGCCTTCCTTTCCTCATTTCAATCTTATAATTTTGCAAATACATCACTGTTTAAAGGACCAATTATATTAAAAAAATATGGACGTCCTGCAGAGATTTCAGAAAGAAGCATGGAACATGCCTGTTACAGTTTCAAATTCTAATTTTTGTGAGATTAAATGGTAAAGGTTGTGACTTTGTTTTGAAGAGTAAGACGTCTCCCCCCCCCCAACCTAGATTCATGTAAGGTCTGTGTATGTCTGATTTAAGAATTAAATGCAAGCACCTAAAAAGTTAACACTTTTTAAACACGTCGGCAATCTAAAGATCTACAATATTTTTTTAATAAAAAGAGAGAGAGAATAAGAGAGAACCAGTTTCAAATAAGTATCCCATTTCCAATAATCTTTTTAGATGTTATTTCTTCCATAGTTGAGAGGCTGACCTGTTGTGATTACTATATAAAGAGAGTAAGTAAAATGCTAAATGTGCCAATATTTAGAAGGCAAAAATACCAGCGGTTTTGTAGTTAATAGTATGCTCTGTGGAAAACCATCTGTTTTTGCATGGTCAAAGAATTATGTTCCCTAAGATTTCTGAGCGTCATAGCAGAACAATGTCAGAATATTCTTTATAGCTAACATATATCTTACTGTAAGCCCAGTACAATTAAAGAAAGTATTGTTTCTTGGAGTGTAGATGCTTCCATCAGACATAAATTCTGGTCTTCAGCAATATGTCTACATCTGGTCAATTTTTCCCTCGACCTGAGCTCATGTTCATAATTTTCTAGATTAAAAATTACCTATTTATTAACCTTGGTGGGTCAGTTTTAGTTTTTGATACTACTTTGCAGCCTACAGTGGAGAAAATAACAAACTCCTTTTCTTTTACACCTTGGTATCCTATTTGTAGCATTCGGCTATATTTATCAGGTCTGCTGAGGTTCACATTGATTCTACTTAGACTCATGCCTGTGTCCCAGGTTTCAGAGGAAATTCAGATTGTTAGGGAATTGATCCACATTATAAAGCAAGGTTCTGATCTTGCAAAGATTTAAGCACAGGCTCAAGTTTTTGTAGGATTGGGCTCTAAGTGTGGTCCACAGGTGATTCAAGCTGTATTACATGATATATTTAAAACTAAATTTAAAAAACACTAAAAAAGCATAATTTACAGAAGAATCCTGCTCTGTAGAACTGGATAACCCACAAGATCTTTTTCCATCTTCGGTGAACATGGCAATGCACAGATGCAAGACATCTGCTATACACTATAACACCAAAGCTGAGTCGAGTGACATCACAAGAAAGTTATCTTGCCACTGTTATGCCCTCTCACAGTGTCACCCAAACAAACCAGGGTTCAATTATGGCAAATGAGTAGAGAACAACCCTGTAGCCTGTGCGCTCCAGCTCACACCAGTTGAGCACTTACTACCCAGTGCATATCAGACCTGGACTATATGATGTTGTCTTAATTGATTCCACACTGGAGTTGGCAGTTCTGAGGGTCATAGAGATGCGATAATCAAGTGGGGCTACACTTTTGGCCCCAATACCTGTAACTGTGGCACAGATCCTCAAAATATAAAATATCTCCTGCAATGTCAATTCCTTGAGCATGAATGCTCTTCCAGTAACCTGGCAGAGTGAAATGATCAGGCTATTGCATGTGCATGGATGTGGCAGGAAACAGTATGAGGACACAAGAAAATCTTTGCATTCTGCAAAATAACTTTTGAGTTTTTCTGAGCTATTATGGAAAATTACTACAATAACATGGTTTATGTATATAAATAAGTGTGAATACAATAACTCTTTGTTCTCGGTCCTGTGGGATTTTCTATTCATAGACTCGTAGACTTTAAGGTCAGAAGGGACTATTATGATCTTCTGGTCTGACCTCCTGCACAACGTAGGCCACAGAATCTCACCCACCTACTCCTGTAACAAACCCCTGACCTATGTCTGAACTATTGAAGTCCTCAACTTTAAAGACTTCAAGGTACAGAGAATCCTCCAACCCGTGCCCCACACTGCAGAGGAAGGCGAAAAACTCCTTTTAAATCTCCAAATTAAGGTTGTCTTCTGTTATGTTATGATAGCTCTAGCTATTCCAGAAATACCTAGTCAGTAGCTGAATGAAGAATGTTGGTTTAATACAGGGCTGGCTCTACCATTTTTGCTGCCCCAAGCAAAAAAAAAAAAAACAAGCCGCTCAGACTGCCAAAGCAACAACAACAACAAAAAGCCACCCAGACTGTGCCGCCCCAAGAATGGACGGAATGCCGCCCCTTAGCATGTGCCACCCCTGGCACCTGCTTCCTCTGCTGGTGCCTAGAGCCGGCCCTGGTTTAATAAAAGGAAAAAGGACGTCTTTCACTCACTTCAGGAGATTAGAATGGAGGTAGAGAACTAAGTGTGAGCAGAGCACTTTGCTCAGCAATATGTCAAAGAAAATAGAGCTTTAGCTAACCAATCTGTAATGGGTTGAAAACTGGAAAGGGAGATTCTCTCTATGAAATATACACTATCATCATATGTATTGGGGGTAGCTGTGTTAGTCTGTATCCACAAAAACAATGAGGAGTCCGGTGGCACCTTAATGACTAACAGATTTATTTGGGCATAAGCTTTCGTGGGTACTTAGAGCCACTTTTTGATACTACTCATACCAGTGTAAAATTGGAATAATTCTGTTGATTTAAAGAGAGCAACTCCAGATTTGCACATATGTAAATGACATCAGAATACAGTCCTTTATCTCTTGAAGAAATAATAAATGAATACATGAATAGCCTGAGACAAGGGCTTTAACATATTTCTCTCTTTCCCTATTACAAAAATGGGTTCAATAATAATAGTCACCTTTGTCACAAGGTGGTTGAGAAACATGGATTGTGGATTTTAGCTCTGAGTTAATAGATTGTCATTTGACTGAATTGAATTCTCTGCTCACACTTCTGAGCTCTGATTGGCTGCTTTAAATCCCTCTGCATTTACTGGCTGTATTCATAGTTTGGAAGAATCCTTGATGAAAAAAACATGTTAAATAGGTAAAGCACGTTAAAACCCCTTTTCAGCCTAATTCATGTTTTCCTGGTTCAGTAACAGCTAGGTATTAGGTTGTGCCTTTTGTTCTTTAGGAACCTAACCATTTGGTGACAATGAACAAGATTTGATATTGGCTCTAGCACACAGAAATTGCATGATCTCAGTGTGAATGGGTGGGAAAATTACAATGTTGGAAAATATTTCTGGGATAATCTGTTGTGCAACTTTCTTTCAGACTACCTAGAAAACTGCATCACTCTTGGACTTCCAACCCAAACATATATGCTCATCAGTAGAAAGTTGTGTAAATTCAGGTCACATAACTGTTCATTAGCCAGGAAAAAGTAGTTGGAATCTTAATATAGGCTATGCTGAAACATCATGGACAAATATTAAGCTAGCTATTGGTTGAAGACTGAACATATGATTGAGCAGTGCAACTCTGGAAATACCTTCCTCAATCAGATGTATATGGCAATATGTTTACTGCAGATAGAGGAAGATACATACTGAATTCTGCTGCTTTTTTGTCACACACAGATCTGTCAACAGTAGGAGACAATTGTTTGAGAGTCTCCCCAGCAGTAGGATTTTGATGTAGAAGAGAGCTAGTCTTAACTTCCTTTGTCAATCAGTATATGGAGCTAATATTTAGTTATCAGACCTTAAACTATATTTATGAGATGAAAAATGTTTAGACTCAACCCTTTTATTATAAATGGTTGACACTTTCTAAACCTATTCCATACATTCCAAGCTAATGCAGTGAAGACAAAAGAGGAGGCTTCTATCTTGTGTGATAGCAATAACTACACTGCTGAAGAATGTGTGCTCAGCAAAAACATTTCCCATGATGAATAAACAACTCATGCATGAGCAGTGCTGCCACCAGATCTTCAGGAGTTGTTTATTGCCTAGTATGTACTTCCCATGATAAAGTTACTGCTCAAATAAATTATAGTTTTGCATAATAACTGACAGTCACATATTAATAAGTGATGTGTCACATGCAGGTGTTTGAATTTTGAATCAATTTTGAGCCTAAATTTAATAACCAAAAAGTGTGCGTGCAAATAGGACATAAAAATTTTCTGCTAGTTCTGATGGATCAGACCAAATTTACCTAAGGAATTTTCATTACAGGTCCTTGAATATTCTTCTTTACCAAATAGTTATTATTTAGGCTTTTGCCAAAGGCAGAGAAATATTCTTGAGATTTCAAAGGTGATCTTTTATTAAAAAGCTGATATAGATCTTCTTATGATTGTCTTATGGTATAATTTGTGTAAGACCTTTCTATATGGTAGAGCAGCTTCATGACCCTTTGAAAATCTTCTGCATTGTTAGGACACAAGGTGATGAATACAGCTCCCACAGCTTGCAATTTAGAGGAATTAATAATTGCAGTAAACTATCCTTGCTCCTCAGTGACCAAAAACTACTTTGTGATTTCCAAAAATTAAACAAGCTTGCAGGCAGTAGCAGGCTTATGAGCGATAAGTGAAAAAACTTTGATCATATTTGAAAGGAATTAACCTTGATTTGTTTGAGTTCCAAAATTCCAGGTACAGTACATTGTGTTCTTTACCAAAGTAATGTCATTTCCTCTAGATTGCAGTTGAAAAATGTCATTGTGTACCTCCTCCCACCATCCAAAAAGACAGAGACGAACATTAGCCTGGGGGTGGGGGGAACCATCATTCTTATGTACATTTTTTTTCATTATAGTAGCTCATCTACAAATTCTCTTCTCTTGATGTATAGTAAAAACCTGCTGTGGGTTTGTTTGTTTTTTTTTAAATCTACAGTTGTTCTGATTTCTGTGAGTGCTGCATTTGACTGTTTGTGCTTGCACAGGGTTAGTGAGCGAGAAGCTGAACTGGAAGCAGCTCTAAGACTGCTGCAACAGTTCTACCTGGATCTGGAAAAGTTCCTTGCCTGGCTTACAGAAGCAGAGACAACTGCCAATGTCCTGCAGGATGCTACACACAAGGAAAGGATACTAGAGGACACGAAAGAGGTTCGGGAGCTCATGAAACAGTGGCAGGTAAGTCAAGTGCTTTAGCTATATAGACCTTCATGGATGCAAGATAATGATTTCTTTGTGCTTGTGCATGCTGTTTAGCTTATTTTAAACTGAAATTAAATTGAAAATAATATTGGTTGTGGTACCGATCTTTAATTGTTGCTTTGAGGAATTCCTTTAAAAATTGGGTGACACACATTCTGATTCTGTTTAACATCCTGGTCTTTCAGTGACTGAGTCATTTAGTCATGGAATGAGATACTGTGTGTTTTGAAGCACAACTTAAAACAAACAGAAATAAACTTTGCTGAAACAGATATTTAGATTTTTATATTGCAGAAAAATTAATTATGGTGCTGATGCAGAGTCTTAAAGTAAGAGTTATTGACATATGAGTGTTTGTTATGCATTTCTGATATTTATAGCAGTCCTGTATATATCGTGTTTAGTTTATTCTCTGTTGTTTAACTAAATTAGTTTTGCTCCATTACTTTCAAATACTTCAAAAATATTAATCTGGCATTTGGCTGATTTTTGTTAACGTGCTCAGTTGGAATAAAAGAAGATGACCTGTCAAAGTTAATGACCATACAATTTTCAGACAATTGTTTTCCCTAGATAAAAAAAAATAGCTTTCTCTACCTTTAATGTTAAGAAAGAGAGGATGGCATGTTTTCTTGTGTTTTTTTTTTAAGAGAGTCTTGATAAGAAAAAGGCACTTATATTTGCATTGTGCTCTCAATAGGGATGTGTGTTCACAGATTTGTTAAATTATTGTGATGCATATAAGGCAGAGCTGTATTGTAAAATGTACTTAAAGTGCTTTAGCTTCACCTTGGTAATAATAAATTCACCCACATCCAAATCTGGAAACTCCAGAGTCTGGAGATGATAATTTTCAAATGTGAATTAATTGAAAATTACAGAGATTGTGTTCCATAAATAACATTAGGTTAGAGATAGTGTTACCTTTTTTCTCAAATGCACTTTATAGTATTTATTCTACTATAACTTGTTTTTCTGTTGTAATGCTAATGCATTATTAATAAACTCCATTACACTGTACTTAAAAAGCCAGCAATGCTGCATTCCTTAGAAATCAAGTCTGGACTATTTTTTGCTTGAAAAGTGGATTATGGTTATCCAATGTTTTTATTTAAAAAATACTCAAAATTTTCACCCCTCTGTGTCTGACTTTAGTTGGTATGATCCTTGAGAAGTAGTTATGAATGGGAGATCATGCTGTACTGAATTAGACCATTTATATCCAGTACAGTCCATCTCTTTTCACTCTCAAGTATCTGACTTTTTGGTTGCTACTGGAATTAAAAGTATTCCAAGTTCTCCTTTTACACTTCTATGTTGTGTGCAGTATTAGCAATAATTTAATTTGGCGTGGTAACTTTTGTATGTCACATGAAAATGGGTCATCCGTCAAAACAGTTCCTTGCATACAGAGGTCTAGTATTTTATTCTTAAATATAATTGAAATTATTAGAAATAGAGTTCTATTTGACCAGAAACACCATGTTTTCAGCCTGCATTGCTTTATAAAATTACTGTGGCGGGAGTCATCCTTGGATGAAGAAAGCAGAGCATATACAATAAAATATGAAAAAGAAAGATTTAAAATTAATTTTAGGCTCAACTTTAGACAACCCACAGAGTAAATGAAATAAAAAATAACTGTACTGTAAGTTAAAATAAATTTTTAAAAACCTTGGAAGTTGTCTTTTAAAGGAATTGTTGCACTGGCATAAGTCTGAATTTTCTTCAAGGTTTTTGCTATGTTTAAAAAAATGTCTTCACAATATATGAAGGGCAAAATGTGTAGCAGTATCTCTGTTTGCTTCCTTTTCAAGACTCAAACACCATTCTGTTCACTGTTTGATCTTGGCTCTGCAGCAAGAGCAGTGATTCTTACATATTAAAAAGAAACATTAGTATGCAAAGACACAGCAGCAGCTGTTTTATTGTCGCTTACTCCCAACTGATTCATATATATCTGTCCACCCATGGAGCAGTAATTTTTGACTTTCAGTGAAGGCTGATGGATAGAAGGGGGGGAAATATCTTTTTTTCCCTCTAGCTCTCTGTCAGTCTCTCTATATATAGCCTGATACTTTTGGCTAGACTATTTGCCTATCACTGTTTATCAGACACTTCATAGCATGTTTAATCCTCCAGAAAAACCTCATAATTCATGAGTGCTGCAAGCACAAGTGGATTAGGAAATGTCTTTCTCTTGAGTGGAATTAATGTGGTTGATGTCGCTATGGAATTTGTTGGAATTTTTTTCCTCCTCATGTAAGGAACAGTACAGGGTGGGAAAATGCCTATTATTTCCCATACTGAAATCCAAGGCATTTTCACTGAGGTAAATTAAGTTGTGCTGTGTGCTTTAAGGGGAAAAAACCCTTTTTGATAAAGGTGATTAGCATGATTTTGTATTACATTAAATCATCATTGTTATAAGAGCTGCCTATAATTAACTTAAAAGTAGTGCAGCATTGCAAACCAGATGACATGGACTGAGTTTCACTAACTTTTAAGTTCAGAGCTGTGTTTTGAAACAGCTCAAGTGTTTGTTTACTTAATACTGCACTACTTATCATGTGTGAAATTGACCTCAGATTTCTGCTCTAAAGACTGGGAATATTCCTCAAATGATAAAGGTCATTTGTCTAGCAATTAAGCATTAATATGTATGGAACTTATCTGGAGAACAAACTGCTAGCCTTACTCCACTTCTATTTGCTCAATAGCATATTGCTGACTCTCTGGTTATGATGATAGTATTGCTGACAAATCCAAACCATCATCTTAAAAATAATATATGAGCAAGTTAATAAATTATTCTTATTATTTATTGTGGGCCAGCAATGTACCAGTTGCTCTACAAAACAGAAAGGATAGTGGCCCTTATTCCCAGGGACTTACGATATAGCTAATAAATGATTATCTGTAACATTATGCATACATGATACATACTGCGACGGTCATGTCATCACTTGATCAGTGTTATTTAATAATGCGATTAGAATTTATACAGGATGTTATGCATGTGAAGTAGTCGATAGACATTAACTAATCATCACAAGAACCTGTGATGTTTGCTGGTAAGCATTACTATCCCCATGTGCGAAGAAGCAAGAAGGGAAACTGAGATCAAAGGTGAAGTGACTAACCAAAGGCACATCATGAGTAAATGTCAGAGCCAATATTACAATGCAGGAACTCCTGCCTATAGCTGAGCAATAAATGTTTTTTCTTATCCCGTGAATAATTTCCATGATTTAAAAAATTTTCACATCTCAAATAGGATGAATAGTCAAAATCCTGGAAATATTCACAAACTGAATGACCCAAAATGAAAAAGAATTGGTTTATTGTAATGTTACATTTTGCTAATTTGGAACATTATTTCAATCTAACCTTTTTTCAGTTTAAATTTATAAATGAAATCCATTTTGAACAGGAAATCCAGAATTTTTCATTGAAAATTGTAAAAACAAAAAGTTTTGACAACTTCAAAACTTTTTTCTCAATTTTTTTGTGAGTTGGGAAACTTTGTCAAACTCGACCTTGTTTCACAAAGTTTCTGCTATGATGAATTGGCATTTTTCACTGAAAAACTTTATTAAAACATTTTCCTGCTAGCTCTACTCCTGACTCCCAATTCAGTGATCATTCTTCCACACTGTCTTCTCTTTAAAAATAATTATATAGATACTAAATATTTATCACTGCCACACACTGATTTAATGGATAGGAAACTTGACTGGATCTGCAAGCTGCCGGACAGTTTTAGGATAAAGGAGGAATGTATACAGGGATAGGTTCTTCTTCCCTGGCATTGCCATTGGACAACTAGAGAGATGCAAGCCAATTGGCTCTTTCCTCCCACAATCATTTCTTTAAAGCTTGGCCTGTTTTTTTTTTTTCCTTCAGGCTCCTTGCCCCATTTTTAGCAGAACACATACCCCGTCTATCTAGTTATATAGTATAGGAACTGTGTTTTCAGGTTGCTATGTGTCTAAGTGATTGTCTGTTCAAGTAACAAGGCAATAATTTTTCCCATCTGGGCCAAATTGGCTGGGGCATAGTGGGTTTCCCCCCTTCCTCATAGTGTCACGGAGACACAGATGAAATAGATATAGGATTTAGGAATTTTTAACATTAGAAATTGTACAAATGTCAGCTGGTCACAACATGTAGCAGGTGTCCAGTGCTGGTGAATGGCCAAGGAGCCAGTGACTAGTAAATGGAAGACATGGGTTTCCGCTGATGGACTCTATGTCAATGGGCAAAAGGGAGTCTTGAAGTCCATGCAGGCCGGGTTTCAGTGCCTTATAAAAGGTGCTTTTTCAATTTGATTTATTTAATGAAAACAATATGTATATATTGCACAACTGTGACCCGTTTTTTCTTTTTTCTATTTCTTACTCTTCCCCTTTGAGTTATACAACCCAGGGTAGTGTGTGAATGAAAGTGGATCTCTTACAAGCAGACGAGGAAAGTTGGAAGCATCTATAGAGCAAAACTGGGAAAGAGGGAGGAAACACATTATCTTTTCTTGCAATTCCAGTGAAATTCAAGTGCCATCCAGAAGATTGTTTTCTTGAAAACAGAAATAGAGGCCTTAATGTTTGTTATGTGATGTTGTCATGCAGCAACGAAGACAGGCAAAATTTACAGAACAAATCATGAAAGTGTTTTGTTTTTGTTTTGGAGAAAGTTTAAAGTGTTTCAAACAAAGACAATTATTATGGAGTGAGTCTACCATCTGCTGTGACTCTGATCATAACAGTGAACAAGGTATGGGAAACGATCAAATAAAGATTGTATCCTTAGTTTATTTTAAAGCTTAGTCTATTTAATTAAACTGCATTTGGTGAGGATCATCTCATGTTAATTCTGTAGGGGGATGGTTGCAGCTCACGCTCCCCCCCCACACACACTAAATTAATTTAAGATGGAACACCTGGGCTAGTATAAAGAATGTTTAAGCAGAGCGGTGC